GACTCTAAGCGTTTCTCTGAAAGAAAGTTTGATCAGGATCTGATCTGACAAGGCTCTGGAGCGCATTCGTAGATGGCACTGCTCCCTCCCCAGGTGCCAGCCTGGTATTTAACCTCCCCGAGTCGCTCAGGTGCTCTGGTGGAGATAAGCACAATTTGTGATGACATCTAGGCTGCGCTGAAAGATAATGCTTCTTCTGGTGCATTATTCAAAATATCTGCCAGCAGAATAACTTCAGCTGCTTAAATATGCATCCACAGAGCTTTCCTGGCTAAAGCTGTACTCCGAGTGGCAGAACTAAACTGAACTGCCACCCTCAGGAAAACTTTATTAGAACAATTTCACATTAAGCAGTTTATGTAACTAGATCTTAAATACATCGGCTTTCTAGAAACACTGTCAAGCACTTATCTTTAAATAACCCATTCAACCTTTTTTGTTGTTTGTTTTTTTTTTTTAAATAAGGAATACCTGGAAATATTGACCATACAGATTCCTTGAAATCATTGCACTGGAGCATCTCTTCAACCCGCTATTGGTTTTATTTGAGAATGCCATTTCAGATCAAAACACTGAAGACATCTTGGCTTGAAAAGCAAATCCTTCAGAGATCTAAGTTGGTATGGGTGCTGGACCTTGGAGCAAAGGCAGACGGTTGGTTTTTAGCATCACCTGTAACATTAACTTGGATCCTCTCCATGCACTGGACAGCACTAAGCAGTTCTTTTGCCCTTGTCTTTTTCACTGGTACATAACAAATGCACCAAAGAGGACAGTTTGGGTCTTTATCATAAGCTTAATGGACAGTTTCCAAAGAAAAAATTGACTGGTCTATAAAGAAGTAGAAAAAAAAAAAAAAAAGAAACAAAACAGAGTATTTTGGCATATATAATCATCCTTTGTTGCAAAACAAAGTGTGTCATACTGACTTTTGTCCTGACAAGTATTCAGGCTTACATGTGTCACTAGGTCATCAAACTCATATTCTTCAAGTCAGCCAGATAACCTGTTCCAAATAGCTGTCAGAACACTGAAACATATTTTTTGGTCTAGGGGTTCATTTTCCTTCAAATTGCTTTGTTCGTATCTAGTTCTACCTTTCGTTGCTGACTTTGGAATAAATCACTTTCTTACACATCACAAAAAAAGATCCATTACAGAGAAAATGTCCCATATTTGCTTGAGAAGGACAGGAATTTTGCAAAATTATTGACTTTACCAGCTTCCAAAAGAAATGCATGTTGGGTTTTTTTTGCTTTATTAAAGTCCTTGAAGCTATGATTCCCATCATACAATTGTCAGACAGAGGACTTCCGGGCAATATCAAACATGAATTATGCTGCAGGGTGTAGACCAATCCTTTAGGACTCTTGTCTATACAAGGTGGAGATGAGACAAAGATATCACTAATGGTTAGAGTTTTGATACGGAGTCACAAGGCCAGTCCTGTGGCATTCACTGGTTCATGCTGCGTCATCTTAGCAAAGGCTCCGCAACTGTTTAAAAATGCTTAATATTCATTTTGTTCTGCTGGAGTAGAGGAGAATGTCAACCTATTCCTAAACCATCCAACTATTTTCAAATAAAACTGCTAAGTGTCAGTGGCAATATAATACATTTTCAGCTTATAAGAACTTTGTGCTTCTCTTACTCTTTTTCTTTCATTCAAGTGTTTTTTGTGACAAAGAAACTAAGTAGAGATAACCAACTTTACATAGACACAGAATCTTAGAATCATGGAATGGTTTGGGTTGGAAGGGACCTCAAAGATCATCTAGGTCCAAGCCCATGCCATGGGCAGGGACACCCTCCACTACACCAGGTCGTCCAAAGCCTCATCCAGCCTGGCCTTGAACACTTCCAGGAATGGGGCATCTACAACTTCTCTGGGCAACCTGTGCCAGTGCCTCACCACCCTCTGAGTGAAATTTTTTTCCTTATATCTAATCTAAATCTCCCCTCTTTCAGTTTAAATCCATTGCCCCTTGTCCTGTCACTATACGCCCTTGTAAAAAGTCCCTCTCCAGCTTTCCTGTAGGCCCCAATGAATGGCAAAAGTGACATTGCTGTCCCTGAGAGAAATCTCTTGAAGCAGAAAGAACATCTCCAGCAAAGTTTTGGAGGGCAGACGAGAAACGAGCAAAACACAACATGCGTTTTCAAAATTCATTCCAACATGAGAGGGGCATGGAAAGGATAGCATCGTGTACATTTCAATCCTTCTTTTGCTCAATTTCCCAGCAAAAACCTATGCTCCCAAGGGAAATAGCTGTGCAGTGTGGGATGTTACCACCACTCACTAGAGGTTACGCAAACCTGCACCTCAGCGCCTTCATAGCTTAGTCAAAACCACTTTGAAAAGCACGTTTATGTCCAGTCACTGGACTTTGCATGGAAACAGCTGAGGTGAGGTGAGTGCATACACTCCGTCCCATCAGTTTCTCTAACAGTCCCTGCTGAAGACACACAGTGACATCTTAAATCGTACCAGCTAGATTGGCCTGGAGGTCATCTAACCTCTCTTCAAGGTTCCACCATGCTCTTGGATCTTACATAGATGGAGATTGACTCAGTTAAGCTATTCTTTCACTAAATTCCCTGCATTATCATAGGTGGGTAAACGCCTTATTGACAACTCTTCTATGCTGTTGTCAAAGGTCTCCATATCTTCCTACTTCCTATTAGACAGGAGAACGACTTGCTATTTTGGAGTCACTGGTGCTCCTCGCTGACCTACAAACTTCCTTCAGACCCATGGCTGGTAAGGTCATGAAGCCATCACAGGGGACTGCTGATTGTCCTATTGTTTACAAAAATAGGTAATGCCTTCCCCATAGTTAGCTTTGCTATTATTGTGTCAAGTGCTCCAGGAACTACATCTTGTGTCCAGGCCATTTGCTGTGATAATTGTTTCCTTCACAGAGGTGCAGTCCCACACACGTGAAGCAATGTTAGTATTTGATTTTCTCTGAAAAAATATATTTAGAAACAAAGTCCTCAGGGCTTGTATATAACCTGAAGAAGCCTACACAATCCTGGGGCCAGTAGACACGATAAGCATTGCACTGAGGTCAAGTTCTTGGATATACATACTTGTTCACGTTGTTCCTCTTCTGCTCTCAGAAGCAGAAGGAAAACGGATCTCAGCTCCCCTGGGCAGTACACAGTCACTCTCCCCTCTGGTTGTCACAGATTTGTTTTAGTGCCAAGTTTTCTCTGTCTCTTGCTACATGATGTTCCCAGAAGCCCTGAACACATTTATTAGCGTTATTAAGAGGATAAATCCAAAATGAGAGACGTAAAGGTCTTTTCATGGTGTCATCTCAGCTCCAACCCAGCATGGAGCCTTAAATTTACTGGTACCTAAATTTTCGAGATGGAAGAGGCCCCTTCAGTGCTTAAAGAGCTGTCGCCAACATGCACAGAGAACTATACCCTGGCTGGGGCAGGCTGGTGCCCTCCTGTACCAAAACCATCATCTCAGACAATCACAAAACACTCAGTTACCTGTCAGCACACAGGATATCCTGCAAACCCAAAAAAAACAACTCAGGCTGTCAACAATATAGAGGCGGAGGTAAAAAATAACTGTGGTTTTCTGGTAACACAGAGCTGTCTGGTCTCACCCCCAATGCAGAAGGCCTGGGTCCTCCTGGGTCCTCCTTCTTTCCAGCTGTGGGGCACAGACACCTGTCAGCTCAGGTCTGGAAGCAGAATAGCTCAGTGGAAGGGCACTGGAGCCAGTAAGCTGTGCTGAACTCCTGCACTGCTTCTCCTCTCCAGCTGGCTCGGACCCAAACAGCTCAAGTTTCTCTGCGTGTCACTTCCCTGCTCTCCAGAGTCTGGGGCCAGCACAGGCAGAGGCAGCCCAGATCTGTTTGCACACAGGATTTAAGTTATTTTCCTGTTGCACGAGGCAGAGCAAACAAAGATGAAAGGGGCAGCAGCTGGAACCACACAGCTTTGGAGAGATTCCGTAACTGTGCATGCATTTTTCTGGATCTGGAAATAAGGAAACACTTTTCAAGCATTTTGCACTTGTAAAAGGCTGCAAAGTGAAAGGAAATTCACCCTTCCTGCAACTTTAGGAGCTGCAGCCGGAAGCACAGAGCAGTAAGCAGTTCACTTACCCACTGCTGCCTTCCCCATGCAGCAACTCCTCCTCCCTACTGGAGGGAGCACTTCTACCTGCTAAGAAGAGTGAGCAGTAAGCTGGAAAACAATCAAAAGGGCTTTTTTTCCTTCCCTCCTACTCTCTGCCTGGAGTGATTTAGAGAAAGTATGATTTGTGTGAGGAAAACAATCACAACCTGAAGCTGCTGTACCATCTTCTGGTTAACACCGCCTGAAAGCATTCAGGGAGCTCCTCACCCAGTTCCTTCAAAAGCCTAGAGGACAAAAAAATGAAAGCATATCATCCTGCCAGAGATGAATGAGGTACATCTATCACTTGTGGCTTTTTCTGCACAATCTGGTCACTCCAAAGGAACAGTCATTCTTCAATTGAATCATGCTGCAAAATTATTTCTATCTCACTATCATGCTTTCTGTACGGTCACTTAACCATGTTCCTTACGGGAATTCAGTTTGCTTTCATTTCAGGTTGCAAATAAAAAGAGAAACAACAGCAATAAAAATTGCATAAATTTAAGTATGTGCTTTCATTTTTATTTTTTCATGGCACATTTTGATTTGTAAACATTAAATTACCAACTGCCTTCTTCCTATGTTGAAAATAACCACCAGACATTTGACAGCATTACCTGAGATTTTTAAGAAAAAGAAAAGAAAGAGAGATCTGGCATCTTTTACCTTACTCACATACAGTACCATTTTAGGAAGAATTACAAAAGGGAATGTTTTCCAAAATAGGACTGTTTTCTTTTGACTATAAAGATACAGAAAATACATCAAAACACCATAAAATGATCAGCCTTATTTGGAGGATGTTGCAAGTCACTGTCTCAAACAGCCTAATAATGCATAGCTGAAACACTGCATCAGTCCTGCAGCAGCACAACCTCAACGTCGTCATGAACACCTTGTAAAAGTAGCTCCCCTTGATAAGTGATGATCTTCCGTCGTTTTGCAGCCTTAAGGGTTCCCACTAGGGCTTCAAAGAGGTTGGCACACTTTTCATCAGCAAAGAGCACACCAAATTTCACGCTCACTTGTCCATCAGCATCTAAATCAAAGACACAACACGGAAACACACGCAGATTTTCTTTCAGTTAGGAGATTACTGGGGAGACAAACTGATACACAGTCAGAACACGGACAGACAACCCCGTGGTGTTTCCTAATTTGTTGGGGAACATATGGATGCCGATGATAAAGAGCAGGCCAAACTCCTGGCTGGTGTGACTTTCCCTTTTTTCCAGAGACTTATATCAAGGACCACATATGTGCAATGTTAATTTTTACTGATGACTTTCTGAAACCTATGACCAGCACAGGCCACTGAAACTCTTCAAAGGATAACGAGGAATTTAGTTTTAAATAATTAAAAAGTTAAAATATTTTTTCATAGAATCATAGAATGGTTAGGGCTGGAAGGGACTTTCAAAGGTCATCTAGTCCAACCCCCCTGCAAGGAGCAGGGATATCTCCAACTAGATCAGGTTGCTCAGGGCCTCATCCAACCTGGCCTTGAATGTCTCCAGGGATGGAGCATCCACCACCTCTCTGGGCAACCTGTTCCAGTGTTCTACAACTCTCATGGTAAAAAATTTTTTCCTAATATCCAATCTGAATCTACCTCCCTCTATTTTAAAACCATTACCCCTTGTCCTATCACAACTGGCCCTCCTGAACAGCCTCTCCCCATCTTTCTTGTAGGCCCCCTTGAGGTACTGGAAGACCGCTATAAGGTCACCCCGGAGCCTCCTCTTCTCCAGGCTGACCAGCCCCAACTCTTTCAGCCTGTCCTCATAGGAAAGGTAAAAATATAGGAAATATTTTTCAAATATTTTTTTTTTCACTTGTCAATATTTAAGGTTCACATTGAAAAAGGTGCAATGTGAACTCATTTCCCACACAAAGCAAGAGTTTTAAAATATATGTTAAGGTTAGCTATGTTATTCCTAAAAGGCAGATGCAGTCACACAAAATGCAAGATGTATGTATCCATTTAGGCTTTGAAAAACAGATGGAACTGAACAGAATTACATCAGAACTGAAACATATGAGCAGGTAGCACATCCACAAATTGCATAAATTGTAAAAAAAAGAGGAGTTTTAACAATGAAAAACAATCTTCGGAGAAAAGGCCACCTTTTAAGCAAGTTTATGGAAGGTTGGGACTACACCTACATCTAACGGATTAGTTCTAGGCATACAGATCAATTCCTTTCAAATAAGACTGTGATGAAGAGAACTGAACTGTATCTTCTGAAGCTCAGAAGTTACCAAGGAAGGAGTGGAAGGAAATGGTGCAACTTCCTTCTTTGATGGCTGTAGCAAGTACTGGAAGTCTAAAGAAAAGGGTAATTTTGCAGCTGATTTTAGCGGGAGCAGGATTTCAGGCCTACATCCTCTGTGCTGCAGAGGCTTAAATGTTGAACTTTGTAACAGAACTACTGCAAAGGATGGGACCATGCAGTCCAACATTAATGACACGTGCAAGTTTTCAGGTCACCCGAGCCTCCTTAATTAAATCCGATAAGTTCATAGGTTGATATAACACGACTACATCTGTATGACAGGTATGT